GGACAATGATTGTCTATCCCGACTCATTTGTCTTCGACATTGATTGCAATGCTGACAATCAGTTCAGCTGCCAGGATGTCAGACCGACGTCCGATGAATAAAAACCAAGAACAAGCAAGCTCGGATCCAATTTGAGTTAGGACATCTATGAACGCTTACTTTCCGTAAATACCGGCTGCACTTCTTTAGTTTCCAAATGTGGTTTTTTGGAATGCACAAAAATTTGGTTTTGCGCAGACCTTCGCTACTGCTGGCAGCAGCTTCGAGCAACACGCCCTGATATTCGCAATCTTCATGTTGGAAAAGGCGATACATGCGGCACTAGTCTGCTGTCAATAAGTGCGTACAACTTGATATCCTAGACGTCAAACGCAAAACTAAACTCCTCATTCACTGTCTCATCAAGCCCTGGAATATTTGCGAGCTATTTTACTGGCAAAGCTCGAAGTCTTCGCTCCAGACGTTATAAGGTTTCCTTTACCGACAGGTTTTGTGTCATTAAGCAACGTCTCGACTAAATAAGGCAAGCTATGAACTTTACTATCAGTACAAAGTACTGACTACACGGACAATTAGGAAAATCATGCCACAAGATCAAGATCCCACATACTAGATCTCTGTGCTATCGACACAGGTACAACGGCTTACAGTCCTCGGCTAATTTCAAGACACCAAGTTTAGCGCATATGGATGACTAGCAAACTTATTTGGATTGGCACATTATCAGTCTAACATGTTACTCATCAAATAACACACCTTCGCACAAGTCGACCAGCACCAAAACTAAATCAACAACAGCGGCTCTTGGTCACGCTTTTACATCAATACATTACACACGTCTGAGACAAGATTTTGGGTCACGCCTCTACGATCACACTTTGCACAGGTTTAACTATGATCTCTTAGCATTTCCGACACAAATAATTCGATTGTCACCTCACCGATCGCAATATGTGATTGGTCAGCTTAATACCAAGCTCATTTACCGCTCTGTGGTAAGTTCGGCACTCACGCTTTTGTATTTTCACTCATTTACTGAACATTAAGCAAAGCTTTGATCAGACTAAGCACTAGACTTCCGAGCTATCTGCACAAAAACAAAGGACTCGCAATTCATCGCTCGATTTTACGAAATCAAGCTGAAGTCACCCCGGTAGTTGTTATCACCACTCAACTGGCGATATCTCAGCCGATTAAGCGTCAAAGCACATCATGTTGTCATTTCACGATCGGGCTTCGAAAATCTTATTTTTGCAAAGGCAAACTGACTGAAAACAGTAAGCACTGTGAGAAGCATAGCCTCTGTCTTTGTATAAAAATTTGCGAAACAAGAATTCTGGACAAAGGGTAGCCGGAAAGCTCAGTAAACTTCCCACTTATCACCTTTAAGAGATGAAAAGCATTAATGCACTACAACCTTTTTGGGACACTTAAGATGAAGAATTTAATTTATTACACTGAGCCGCAGCGGCAATAAATGCTAATTTTCTAAAATGTGGCTGATCGATCTGATTTTAGCATTTTAGCTTCAGAAAAGGGCAATGACTGCATTTTTTATAACTGTAAAGTACTGCACTCACTTGTACCGGACTCCGCGGTCTTATTCACTTGCTTGAGTAAACCAATCAGACAAAATTCTCACAATGTTTGGGGTACGTCCGCTACTGTTATTGTTTTTGTAAACCGTTGTGATAAACGAATATTACATGACAAGGTTGATGCGACTCAGTGTGGAAGGCCGTCTACAGCGATTATTAAAAATTGATGATTTTAAAAATCTTGGAAAAGTAAAGTGTCCACTTCTACCTCTTTGGCCATTCCCGTCGGGCAAGAAATTGGCAAAAGTGCTAGAAGCATGAGGACAAGGTTTAACCGGCCCGAGGACCTCGATCAATTCTCCCACTGGCTCGCAAATTGGACATAAACAACACAATAAAGCATTTCGAGTTTTCCTTAGCTTTGTAACAGTTTGTCAACACAACAAAACCGCTTCCTCATTTCCCGTTTCACCGTGCCTTTGTCTCGGAGTAACTTGTCCATCTTATTCATTATATATTGCTGCTTCGTCAAACTTCAGCACGTTTGTCACCGTGGATGCTTGCTGGTTATATATACCTTTTATGTCGTTAAGAAATTCAGAAATAACTCGCCAAACATCAAGTTCAAAGACAGAATGTTAAGCTGACCTACTGTTTAGATGATGTGGCACTTAAGCAATCATTTTAGGTCATTCATCTGTCCCGATTGCAGGTAAATGTTTGTTGATTTGATTTTCTGAACTCACCGAATATGTTGTCCGAGATGAAGAAGAAAAACATATTATATATGCAGTTACCACATCTCAATATTCTTACTACAGCATTTGTTCGGATAGAGTAGTTGAACCGCCTAATGCAATCTAGCATCACGCCTAGTAAGGAATTAGTCTAACTTTTAAAGTATTTTTTAATTGTACAGTATCGTGTCATATCTTTAGCAAATTTAAGCCCTAATACAGAGCAAGTTTGACGGCCGTTCACAATTCCAAGTGCCACTCTAGGATGGCCTCGACCCTTGCAGGATCCTTATCTACCGTGCTTTTCGTGAAAGCTTTAAGGAAGAATCTCCTCGTCACCAAAGTCACAGTTGTCTTTTTGACGAGAGTTAATCATAATCGCATACAAATGATCAATGCGGTTCTCCTCATTTGATTCCCCGTGCTCGACTGGACACATATATCGTCGAAATAGATTGTACTCAGGCCTGATGCGGCCAACATAGCTACGTCACCAGACAATTGAGCATCATCGGATCGTCAGACAGCCTCTAAAGCATAACCATCCACTCTTTATGCATCTTATTCGGTATACCCACCGCAAAGACATGCCTCCCACGAGAAGTTGATTAATAACTATCAATTAGGCCGAGGGCACTTAGAAAAGTAAACTTTTCTGCAGCATATCCTTTTCAAAAATCAGACCTGAGCCGTAATAGTGACTGCACTTAGCGCATTAGAAGCAACCAGCCATAAGCCATGGCGAAATATCATGTTGGCGCCGAGGGGATAAATGTTATCCCCTTTTCGTGATTCGCACACCGGAAATAGCCGATGACGTCACGCTGTTCTCTTGTCTAGGACTATCATTGTGTGCTGCAGAACCAAGGCTATTTCATGTCGCGTTTTCTGACCCGGGGTATAACAGGGTTACGTGTACCCTGGCATGAAAGGGTGGGTCACACAAAATGGTGTGACCATAGAACGGTGTGAATTACTCAACGAAGGGTTATTACACAATGGTGTGGCTACACCGTAACAATAAGCCACTATGTGGCGGGACTACTAGTAGTCAGGCATGTTTATAGGTTTTACTTCTTAATAAGGATTCGGACATAGGCGATTTTGCCGCAAATAATTCATATAAAAACAGTTTGGATTTTGAGCGAAAGAGTATATTTGCCATAGATAAGGTTTTGGGTACTCTTGGAGTTAGTGGATTTCGATCCGCTGCACTCATACTGGTTCTAGTTCAGAACGTAAGGTCGGCGACCTAAGCTTAGCTTTCTCTAAGCAAGGAGCTGCAGCAGCCCCGCTGCACGGGAGCAACATATGTGCTGGGCCTCGTGTCATTACATCGCGATAATTCTTCCATAGGTGCACTGACAATGATATCAACTGAGACTCTGCGATTATTATAAATTACGCATTCATTTGTGATGGGTGATGGACGAATATTATCTTCTGGTACCAAACGTAACATTTTCGATACTTCATCTTTGCCCAAATCCACCAAAACGTAGCCCCAGTAGACTTACAACCGTCACTCTGCTCACAAGTGAGTAATCTTCTTGCCGAAAATCCGTGATGATACATTGCTTTGTACATGGACGCGCCACGCGGTCGTGCTGATTTAACAATACCGAAAAGTTGTAGCAACGATGAGTCATCCTTTCAGGCATCACTGCCTGTCCCTTTTAATCGCAACTTACAGTCACCTTCAGCTTTACCAACGCTTCTATAGGCGACGCAAACTTACATCTTATATACTGACCATTCCAATGGAAATATACTCTGACGAGCACGATATACCGTCGCTTATTCTTAATTCAACAAATATACAATCTGGAGACCGGAATATACGATCGCTAGGTATTCTATCATCTTGATACCTCCTGTTATACTCGATTCTGCTTTCCGCGCTCTGCTCACGGTATTATCGTTGTTCATCAATACGGACAGTTCAATGACATTCACCTAAGCTATCGTAGCTTTGCGCTAAAAGCTTTCTTACAGAGCGGGTGAATGACTCACGACACCTCATTAGGAATACGTGGCATTTAAAGATCCCAACCTGAAGTCAATTCAAGAACCAAGACATTTAAGTCACGCCATACCTAGACCGAGGTCATGCCTTGATCTGCGCCCAAGACCGGGCAAGAATTACAGTGATTAAGCCCTCAGACCTACAGGAAGACTCATCGGACTCTCCACAGTCTGATGAGTTTCCGCCGTGAGACGCACGTAAACTGTATCCTCATTTGGCATCTTCAATGCATCTGCATACTGTCCAGATTTTTGAATGTCGCGGAATGTAAGACACTCCTAAGGCTATGTGGACTTTTCACGTCCTCATAAAATCTGGGCTGTTGACTTGAAAGTAGAATTACAAGGGCTTACAGCCACAAACACCCTTGTGGGGCAAAATAATGACAAACCGAGCTCGTCGTATTGTTGCTAAGGCGAACGAGACACCCAGTCAGTTGAGGACCAAAATGCTCTCAAGTGTATGCTCATCTGAAACGAAGAGTCACCCCTCTAAGGGCTGACCACGACTTCCGCTAGGTACAAAAGAAATCAGCTTAATAGGCCGCTCTGTACCAACTGGGACAAGACATTTTTTCACAAAATGGCTCGTCGGACGGCCATGCGTGAGTATACGACCATTCATACTGCTCAATCAGAAATAAAGTGGTGTGCAGGGCGTAGATCATTAAAAGGGCCGCAGATCTAGCATTTGGAATTTTAAGTTGCGGAGGCCCAATACATTTGGCACTTTAGCGGCTTTCCTTCCGTACCCTGACCGGTTCCCACGACTTGGATGTTGTACTCCACGTTCGATTCTACATCCACCGTTCTATTCAAATAGTAGGGTAGACGCAAAAGATCTGGGTACGTGCAGCAACAACTCGAAACCCTCTGCATAGATGGTTACTGTTACATGCATGATCTACCACTATCGCGGTGATGCGAAGTTCCAGCTAACCGATATATACAATACTTTGACGCGTGAGCAAGAACTGGGACCGCCCATAATACACCTGCTAGGGCAGTGCAAGCACCCAAATTTTTGAACGCTTTCTCACTCCCCATGCTGTGACACCGTTCAACATAGGTACTACACGTATATGTTTATTGGTCTCCTAACTTAGGAAATTACTAGTGCAACGCGCTTGCAGCGGGGCTGCCGAAGCTCTTTCCTTAGAAGAAGCTAAGCTAAGGTCACGTTCCTTACAATAATCAGTACGAATGCGGCGGATCGCAATTTGCTTCCTCCAAGAGTACTTACAACCTTAACCAAGGTAAAGGGACTTTCCGCTCAGAAGTGAACCTATATTGATATGTTTTCGTTGCAACAAGGCCACCAATATCCAAAATCCTAGGGTTACCTTATTTATATTGTAATACCTCTTTAATATAGTAAGAACTAGTTAATATAGTAATATGCATTACTACTGGCAATCCTACCACGTGGTGGCTTACGAGGCTCGCGTGTCGGAGACACCTTCACGTTCTTAAGAATAACTACACCCAACCTAGCTGGTTCTGAGGGCGCCTGCGGGCAAAGCATTTCGTCTTCTGCACGGGGTGCATCTCCGGACAGTACGTCCGCAGCTTTCCGGGAATCACATCCCAAGCCCTCGGCAACCGACCGCAACACACCGCGCCCGCCACGGGAGACGGATTTCCTCGTCTAGGATCTGGAGGAAGTCGACTACGAGTCAAATACTCTTTTCCAGCATAGGAAGACGAGGAGGATGAGGTGTACCAACGGCGCGAAATGAGCCCAGCTCGAACCTTGCAGGCACTGTGTCCGTACCCCGACCTCTCGACTTTCGGGGAAAATGGTATTGATACCAATCGCCTCGACGACGCACAGGAGCTGCAATTGAAGGCTGCTCATAGGGCGGCTCTCCTGCACTCAAATCCACGTTTGGTCTTTGACCCTCGTGTGGAGTACGGCTTCGGCGGATTTCGCTACTATAGCGAAAGACATAATCACTCGATCGTTACGCGTCTACGTAGTCGGGCCGTCGCCCCTGGCGAGACCGCCGCAGATGATGACGGGCACTTTGAGCGATGGGTGCAGCGGCACCCGAAATTTTTTCTCGATTTCAGCCTTACAGCGAAGCCAAGGAAGTGGACGTACGCGTTGAGCGCCATCACCGATTGGAGTTTGCCAAAATTAAGAAGTGGCGCCATCTTCCAGCATATTGTTGCCCTTCGACACATGGAATCATCCATCAAGCTTCCACGTGCTCTGTCGTTTCTCGCACGGATGAGTGTACGACCACAGCAGTTCAGGACCATAGCTTGAGCTCAGCTCATGGCCCCTCGACTTTTCGTGCTTCTGCTGAGAAGCTGTTCGCACAATGATGCGAAGCGTCATGATCTTTCTAGCCTCAAGTGTCCACAACGTCTGAGCAGTCTTGCCAAAGGGGCACCTCAAAATGCTTCGAGTTTTCGGGTCTTGGGTTCCTGCCACTTCACAAGATATTGGGTTAGACTCTGTCGATGACGTCGACCCACAAGGCGTCCCACGCGGTAGTGGACGCCACCAATCTCATCGAGTAAGTCGGCGGCGGACGATGACGACTTGGTCGATCGCCGTTCAGTGACCCGCGATGCTTTTCGAGCGTTGGCGGACAAAGTTTGTCGTCATCAAAACTGTGACGAGCATCTTTCTGAGGTCGCCTACCGCTGTGTGGAAAAACTCGAGAGCCACGAGCACGTTATACACCGACTGCCTCACGTTGAGGGTTATTGCGCTCTGACGAAGCGGCTCCTAGCCGTCAAGCAGACGAATACGTCACTTCATACGACGGTAAAGGGCCTTACGCCGTTGGAAACGGAAGTTGTTGCCATCCGTGCTCAGAATTAGTTGCTGGTTCAGCTTCTGGGTGGTCGAGCGCCTTTGGGTGCCGCCCCGGTGCCAACGTTTCCGTGTTCACTTGCGCCGAATCCCGGTACGGCTTAAGCAAACCACATTAAACACCGGGTGGGTGCACATCCTTCTCAGACGGTTCGGCTTATACGAAAGGCCTCCTTGGCCGTGACCTTAAAAGGTCCAATAAACCGTGGACGGAGCTTGTCTTAATGACAGCAGAGAGGGCATGTGTAGGAAAGGTTTTAGCCTTTCATAAAACCAGGTCTCCGACCTCATAAGTTTCCTTATTTCTTCTGCTTCTTCCATCTGCATATTTTTTCTGCATGTCTTGGCTTTCAGCCATCGCATCGCGAACGTGTCGTAAGACACTCAGTCTGGTAGACAGGAAGTTTTTGACTCCTCTACGGTGCGTGTGGCGGCTGACATCAGCTAGCCGTTCGGCTACTCCTTCCCGACCAAGCTTTGAGCCATGGGATGGCGGCGCCAGCGGGACACGAGGGTTAACAAGCCCGTTCGCGTAGAACGGCGTGTAGCCGGTATATGCATGCATTGCATTGTTCAGAGCAAACTCTACGATTGGCAGCATAGCGATCCAGCGCTTCGGCGTCTCAACGCAGATGCTGCGAAGAATGTCTTCAACGACGCGATCCACGCGTTCAGTTTACAAATTGCATGCACTCCAAACCCACGCGACGTCATAATGTCGTTTGTTCATTGGTAGATAAGTATGCACTGTCAGCAAGTACCGATGTGACAATTTAGCGCAATGTCTGTTCTCTCTGCAAAGTAAACACGCCCATTTTCAAAGCTGAATGCATGATATTGCCATGTGCCTGACCTAACTTGTATAATGCTCACGTTGCAATGACACGAAATGACTTCTTAGCGATTTCTTATGATATTGAGCTATGTCGTGGACACCAAAGGCTACCATATTACGCGAAATAGAGGTGAACAGGAAGAAGCATTTGGGCTAGCGAACATTTCGGCGCGTGAATCCTACCATTGCTCCTTTGACATATCACGTGTTATGACATTATTTAATGCGCGAATGTCAATAAGTGTGGGCAAAGTAAAACGTTGCGTTGGTCAATCTATCAAGTCGGCGCGCGCATGAACGATTACAGCGAAGCAAAAATTCTTACGATATAAATAACCTTCCCTTTCGTATGAAAGCTCACATTTTGCCTCAGCAAATCATTGCTGTTAGCGCTGCAGTGGGGCTATTGAAGATAAATCTCAGCGTCATTGCTTTAACATGTACATATACGCAATATAATTCTATCGTTATTTCTTGAATATGTAAGCTCTTGTTTCGATGCTTGAAAAAGGGGAGAACATAGATATTTTTTGATAGCAAGTCTTGTTAACACCAAATTGTTGAAATCGGTGGTTGAAATTCTCATGTACTAAAAAACGGAACAGCCAACAGACAAATATCAGACTATACGAGGCGACGAGCTTGCTTTAGCAGATGGCATCAAGAGATGTAATATCTGCTCGAGCGTGTTGTCTAATTGTGTCATTCTTGTTTCAAGCCTCTGCTCGACTGATTCCAATCTCTTCTCTAGCTGGTTTAATTGAAGTGAGAATGTACGTGTTGAAGTCCTTGAGATCAAAGGACGTTGTGACCCCAGGTGAATAGCCCCAGAAACGGCAATGCCATTGTTATCATTACTTTCGGACTTCAAATCATTTTTTCTGTTTTCATGCGGGGTTTCTGTCTCGTCAATGCTGGTTTCCGTGATTGTGCTTCGCTGAAAATTGTCTAAAGACCCACCTTTTAGACTGTCAATAATATTTGAAGAAGCCACCGCAGTAGCAACAGCGATGATTTCATCCGTCGGTCCACTTTTATAATTTTGTGAAGCTTCTTGCGGTAAAAAGCTTTCATCTGAATTAAGAAGTTTTGACAGTCGTGGACGGAAAGTTGCCAGGGCTCTAGTTTTGGTGCGTAGCTTCTCCATGTTTTTATAGGTTTGTATGGCTCTTTTCATTTTAGTATCCGCGAGTATCGTCATCTTTTCCATACGCTCCGGACCATTGTCCTTCCACATCTCGCCAACACGCTTCACAATAAGCTTTTTCATTGCGATGGCAAACTCCGGAAACTCGACCAAAATTTTTTCAAAGCCTTCTCGAGCAAGAACGCATAGCTCTGCCATACATTCGGCTTTCACACTGCGGGTACGTTCGACCTCCATTACCACGCCAATTTCACCAAAAAAGTCCCCCTCACTTAATAATATGACTGTTTCATCTTCGGGAGACTTGCAATTTTTCGGCGGTAGTACACGTACAATGCCTTTGACAATCATGAAAAGCTCCTTACCAATCTCACCTTCATGAATTATAAAATCGTCGGGCATGTAGATGATTTGATGCAGCTGCATGCAGATCATTCCTAAAACAGCATCGGTGGCCAACTGAAAGAATGGAATCTTTTGTAAATTATCCTTAAACAAATAGATAGCAATCTGTCGTCTGAGTGTCATCGACATTCCCGGGTCGTGCAATAAATTCAGTTGCTCCGATAAAGCGCGATTCTAAAAAATGTGCATTGCAAAAACAATGTCATTACTTTTTGTTCAAACCACAACACGCTAGTGCAGCACACGACTCACGCACATTCAACCACAGATAGTCGTAAAAAGCGTTCACTCGAGCCTGTCCGATTCGAATTTACAATTATGATTTATCTTTTCAGGATGATATGCATTTTTCTACGCACTCGTAATGGCTTTGGTAAACACAATGCGTCCATTTCGTGAGACACTTGATCCATTTTTTTCCAGAACACATTTTCGGCTCTATCCCAGCTACATCATATCATTTCCTGGTTAACCTCAATATAAACAAAGTGATCTGCGCTGTGTACATACCTTTGGACAAGACCTATGATAGTGCCGAAAAGAATAGCTGTCAAGATCATGCCGTATATCGACACTGCGCTAGACCAGAAATAAATAGTCCCGTTCAGATCCTCACTTACATCATGGCCGTATCCTCCGCTAAGAAAACGATCGTTTGCTTCTACATAGGCAGCTGACACACCCAGCAAAGATACGATACCATGATGAAATGCCACCATATAGATATCCGTCTCACCCCCATCTTGACAATGCGGCTTAGCAGCTTCGACAGCGTCAGTACACGGTTTCAATATGGCCACCCACAAACAGCCTGCTACGTGAGCGGAGAATAATATTGCATTGAGAGAGATCATAAGGCTTGAGTATCGCTTGTATCTTTTTAAGTACTTGACGAAGCGCCCAAGTCGAAGTAATCGGGGAAGCTTTACGTATTTAATCATTTTGAATGTTTTTCTTGTCGATATGCTAGCCACCGTATCTCGAATAAAAAGCTCGAACGGAATCGAAGAAGCGACATCAATAGGGAACCAGACCGAACGTAGATACGATTGACGAATTTTACGTGGGTCCATAACAACATTTCCATACTCAATGAAACCAGTACGAAATCGTAGCGCAATGTCAACGAAACCCCAAAAATCAAGCACTTTCATAAGGTACCTTGTACTTGAAGACGGCACGTACCAGTCGAAACATAGCATGAAGGGGATAATCCATGAGTAGTAAACCACAATAAGCGCGCTTAAAAGATCCCAAGAAGTCTTGAAATGCGACTGCGGATGCAGTACCCAACGGTGACTCATTCGATCTTGCAGTTCAAACAGTGATGTTCGGAGAACGTTAATCGGTGGAGTATCCGACATCCTCCTAAGTAATTTTCTTCTTGATCGCGACCAATTATTATTTTGACGTATTGTAGAGTAAGTTCCTGGTTTATTTCGACACCCTGGTTGATGATTGCCCTCGTCACTGTTAACAATTTTGACTTTGGTATGACTCCCTGGCGAAATACTGGACTTTTGATGTTCGTGAGAGGTCAATCCAGATCTGTTTTCATTGAAAGCTGCTTCCAAGTTTGTAGTTGTAGGGTATGCATCTACGACGATAGGTCTGACCAAGTTTGGGCGAAACATAACGGATGTTCAGATGTAGAGCAAAAATACGTATTCCCGATTATGAATCTATTTACGCCCATATTTCCTTGAGTTTTATATAGAATTTAATAGGAATTACTACCGAGTAAATAAATGTCGCTCGGATTCTTGACAGAGTCAGCACTCGTGCCGTCTAAGGCCAAGGAAATTAAAATTGATGCCAAGTCTCTTCTGGATCTGAAAGCTGTCGTCTATCAAAAAGATCAGGAGCGAAAACGCCGGCTTGAGGAGGCTTTGACGGACGAGGATGACAGCGCAACCTTAAATAGTAATGGCGCATCCCGATTGAAACGATATGCACATCTTCGGGGCGGTAACAAACATCCGAGGCGGTCGGACAAGGATCGCATGGGTAGTGGATGTCGTAATAAAGGTGTGGATTCTCGTAGTCGACGTGACGAGGAGGCTAAGGCGAGAGAAGCACCGAGTGAAGATGACGACCAAGCGTGGAGCAAAAGGTCGGCGGAGATGTTACGAAAGAAAGCACAACTATACGAGGAGATGGCCAATGGAGGAGGGCATGCTCAGTTAAGAGGAGAGTGCTTAGTGAACTTTGAAGCGAAAAAGAATATGACAATGGCAGTGACGTTGGAGAAAGAGACAACAGTCGAGATCGAAGATGAGTTTGGACGCTTGAGGAAGGTAGCGATAGACAGCCCCGACTATAATACTTTGCAGCAGCGGCTGACTGAAGATTTAACTGGACGAGATTATGAAGAAATGGCGAGCGCGAATTGGGACAAAGGAGGCGGCAGCTTTGTGGTGTCACCGTGGGAGAAGCGCTTAAAAAGCGTCGAAAAAGACCATTTGAAAGAAGTCCACGAACAAGCGTCATATGCACAGAATCAAGCACACTTTTCTTCGTCGGATACGATGGCGAAGAAGACGAGAAAGCAAATGCGTCTGGAGCGTCTCCGCATGCAACAAGAAAGAGTGGCTCCGAGTGAAAATGCAGCATTTACAAGTCCTATGGATGACCCAGCGGCGTCTGAAAAAGCGACTAACTTTTTGAATCGGTTGCTGTGACCTGTAGAGTCTCATAATTTGCGATTTATGATTGAAATAATGAAATACGTAAACCAATATCAGCATAGACTTTGTCTCATGGTGTAATTGGCGCGTGAACAAACGGAATAATTGATGTAGTTTGCTGTGTCTGTGACTGAAATGTATATCTTAATGAAACGATCTGATAAGAATGCAAACACGAGCCGCTTTAAAAAAAGTTTGAGCGACAGCCAGAATTATTTCAGCTCATTCTTAAAAAAACTAGAGGATGCCGAGAACTTTTGAATCGTTTCGCAGGGAGACTCCAAGAGATGTGTCGCCTTCCCGTTTTCCAACAATTTCAATCTGTCGATATCTTATCATCACGTCCCTTCTATCAGTGCTTTTGTTGACGATCACGAGTGACATGAAGGACAACGACGGCATTGCTGCTGAACCTGATATCTTGTATGCTGCTGACTCGAGCATTACTGACCACCAATCATTTGGGACCATGACAATGTACTGGGATCAGCGCAGTGCGCAGATGGATCTTGTGCAATCTAATGTGCAGTTGACCGAACTTCAGGCTAAAGATCTTGAGCTGCTACAAATTCAACAAGTTAGTCGCCATGGAAGCAGGTAGTCATTACCCATTTACTTGTATGGTCTGTTTATGAAGTTAATAATTTGCAGATTCCCAACAGAAGACACAATGCAGCTGATCGCTGAGTTGCTACAGAAACTGCAGGCAAATTACGTACATCTTCTCCCAGAGTGGATGAAGCAGTATGCATTGCCTTATAATATGTCAGTTGCTGGCGCCTTATCATCAACTGGATTTGATGAGCTTGCAGCTTTTGGGAAACGAATTCGGAATTCGGTAGGTTTAAATTTTCCGATCAAGTTTAACGAACGGCAATTCTTTCTCGCACACACGTTTAAAAGCCGCACTGGTGACAGTGCGAAAGCGTAGGCTGAGTTTGTTTTCTCAAACATTTAAATCATGATATCATTTAGATTGTCCTTACTTTTCGAAGGTTTGCCAGCACGTTTTTTGACAACCCCAGTGACGTTCGATATATCGAGTATGCAAAAGGAAAAGTACGTTTCTCATAATTTCCGCCATTGCTCATGATTCTAAGTAGATGTCGTTAGGATCCGCTTCTACGCTTCTACGACCTTTGCGACCGATACCTTTATGAAGTGAAGCATAATCCAAATGCTTCAAATGAGTTTGAAGCATACAGACAGTCAAATCAAATGAACGCGAGCCTCACTCATCTTAAGTCCCAGTTAAATCTTGGTGACAATGCGAATCTAAACGCCAAAGACGTCAGCACAGCTTTCGCTGCTTGTGCGTGAGTATTGCTGTTTGCTCTTCCATTTTTCAATTGTTTGGCATTGACACATTTACTTGCTGACGTTTTAAGCTTCGATATTATGCTATATGGTATCACGAGTCACTGGTGCTCTCTTATGGACCAAACATTTCTTGATAGACTTGACTACGCGGAAGACCTTGAAGCATTTTACGCACAGGGTGCTGGCCACAAGATTAATTATGAAATGTCCGCCGTCCTCCTTCAAGATATATACTCCTTCATGAAGATGTTTATTTCGGGTGAAACTAATGTGGTCGGCAATCTTCGTTTTGGCCATGCAGAGACGACACTTCCCCTTATGACACTGCTTGGCTTCAGCGATCGCACGAAGCTCCTTGCGTCATGGACAGATGATCAAATCAATGCACGAGGTTTTCGTACATCAGCGCTATCTCCCACCGCCTCAAACATTGATTTTCGTTTATATCGTGGTAACAAAGACCACAGGTATTATGTGTCAGTATGGATCCAAGAAATTGAAGCTCCTCTTCCCGGTTGTGATGGAGAAGTTTATTGTGAATTTTCTAAAGTCGAAAAGCTATGGAAGCATTATCTCAATAATTACAAGTTTCAGACGGAGTGTGCCTTAACTGGTAGCTTGCACTAAAAAATTAAAAAAAGCTAAATTTTTATAAATACTTTCATAGTATTGCATTATAAGTGCTGTATAAAAAATCCAACCACAAATTTGCGCATCACGATGCGCAATTCTGCGTTGCCGTATAGCCCCGTGTCCACCCATACGACGCTCGAGGACGCAAAGCTGGCACTGCACGCGTTCGATGCATTCGATTATATCACAGCCTATAATTACGGTACCTTTCGCAATGCCTCAGTGTATCGCTGCATCTCGCATAAGGCATGCGATCGTCGTCTACGCATCGTCGAAAAAGTAAATGACGAGGATGAGATTCCCGTCACTTTTCAACTAGCAGTTCACGGAGAGCACGGGTCTCAAGTAACAAACCGGAAACGAATTGGTATCGATCTTCTGGTAAAAGGAGAAGTAGACGAGCTACTGGCAAGAGGCATGAGTCTTAAAAAGTGTCGTCTTGCACTTCAACGCAAGTATGCAGATGAACCGGAAATGCTAGCAAAGATACCTGATGAAAACAGATTGAGGAACAGACGCATCACGCTTCGTAAGAAGGGCTGGAAGAATTCGAAAGCAGTGCTTCCATCGATGACAATGTGTGAACGACTTGTGAAAGCTGCCGAATGGGACGAAAGCTCGGACTCCGCTCCGGAGGTGAATTCGAGTATGGAGGATGACACAAGCGAGGAGCAACAAATAGAGGTTGCTAAAGGCAATCCTTGTACAGAACAAGACGAACAGTTTGACAAGAAACGATTGATGGAGGAGTTTACAGCACACCCTGGTCGACCAGTGTTTTGGAATATCTTGAAGAGGACAACTTTTCTGGAATGTGAGAATAATGACGTAATGACCGAGTGGATTACTGGTCAGGTGATTGGATGGCAGACCAAAAAAAATGCGCCAACAAAGTGGATTGTGCGCTATTCAGACGGTGTGAAACAACCATTTCAGTTGGAACAGCTGATTGATGAAATGAATGCGGCAGCACGTGTGGGACTGGATGTTAGGGGTCGTTGTGGAGTTTTCTGTTGACAAAATGCGCTGGAAACGCTTTGAAATATGGCGCTTTGTCAAGTTTAGTTCTGTTTAGACGTCGCTAAAAGAAATTTGACTGAAGGCTTCAATACATCTAGGCCAGGCACGAGTCAGAACTTTGGTTCTTGGCAGATGTCGTAGGAAAAACTAGAGTCGCTCGCGCTGCAATTAAAAGCTACCGGTATGCTTGCAAGCGAATGCTCCATCAGATTTGTTACGACCACAATAATTGACAGTCCCATCAACTAAACCAAAGCGAGTATAAAATGAATTATCTCAACCGCTTTGAAATACAAGACAGCAAAGACAGTTAAAAAAATGTATTAACGTTGCGATTGCATTAAAAATGGACAAGCATTACGCCACCTAACATACACGCATCTTCGATTCCCTCCCTATATCTTGTATCCGGAAACGCTCCAATCACAGGTGAAGGACAAGATGTGGGCGTGAAAAACTGGCGCGATCAATGAGAGCTAACGATCATATTACGCAACGCTAGTTTTAGTCCCGTACGATGCATCTCGTATGTGCCGAGTACGTTAAACAGCAAAATCTTAATTGCGTGCAGACAGCCCTAACTCTGTTGGTCATCACATCCAAGACACAGAAATCTTGATTCTAGCGATCATACATTAATTTTTCAGTGAGCATGGAGTTTTGTATTACACCAAACGAAAAAAAAATCGTTTATAGAATGACGCTTGAAGTAATAGCGTATGATGCACAAACACTAGAAAAACAGAAACTTCCAAACGCTGTCGCTCCCAGGAACGAAGGTCAACGACTAACTTATAACACGAAGCTTGACAGCGAGTTGAGGTAGATCTATTTATACGAATCCGTTGACTCAAATTTCCCAAAAGGAAACTGGGTCTTCAAGATGACAAGTCACCAGTAGTGCGTCATTCTGTTTCAATTACGAAATCGTATCGTTCGTAAGGATATAAACTTCGTATTTCGAGCTTGGCGTATTGCAGGGATGAAGACAGCGAAGCACGCTGACAAACTCAAGACAACAGCGGCCGCTAGTCCTGCTATTTCTTGTGTTGGAAAGTATCCTGGAGGAAACCGTTCGCGTTTACTCGACCAGTCGTGCGTCGATACGATCCAAGTCTCGTCTTTAACTCGACGCTCAGTATTTGAAACGAATTCGAAATGCATATGTGTCCAGTTGTAGATGTGTACACGACCATACCCGTGTTCTAGAAAACCTTTTTTACGCCAATTCGAGCGGTAAAACCCGGCAGTGTCGACAGTAAATCCAGCTGATCCAATCGTTATATGCACGGGGGCCATTGCCTTGCCACTTGGAGACTCGATACAACGATCACCAAACACAGGGCACGTACGCTCGTACGAGTGGTAGTGACCCGCAAACACAACATCAACATGATGGTCAGCCAGCTCCTGCTCAAGCTCATCACGAAAAAGTAGAGAACGATAATAGTCATGAGAGTAGGCAACCGAGCAGTATAGTGGTCGATGAATATAGACGAAGACCCAAGGTGTTTTTGAACGATCAATAGTACTTAAATCCTTCACCAGCCACTTGTGAAGTGTAGAACCTCGCGCAAATTCGTGTTCACTGCTCAACATCACATGATGTGCAAGTCCTGAGTCAAAACTGTACCAGTATACACCATTGCCATTCTCAGGCATGTGAAAACGTGCAGCCGCAGGCACACCACACTCACCTCCCGAATTAAAACCCGAAGTGCCATCCTTTTCAAAGGTTGAGTGCGATGGCCACTTGATCGGATCTTTCTTTACACCTTCCAAGTAGCCATAGTCTAGGCAATGGATAAAAATTAGTGCTGATCAACGCCTTTTAGAAGTACCAACACATCTTACCGTGATTCCCGATGGTGATCATGTAGGGCAAACGCGCAGCCACGTATTCAATGAGATGACCGAAATGATCCCAGATATACGTAGCTCCATAAGCATAAGCCAAGTCTCCAACATGCATGACCGCGAAATATTTATGAGAATTCGACTCTACCGCAGCTAATTCCAAATCATCTCGAATCAGTTTCATCGTCGTACCGCTCGTACCATTATCCAGTGCAAAATTACTCGTCGGCTGAACTGGCATATTTAGATCTCCATAAACAAAGAAACTCACACTTGATTCCTGTCCGACTTTATTATTCCCTTTGGGTGGTATCATTCGAAACTCAAAAATATCGCTCACTTTTCCATTTTGTTCGCCAACTTGATAGTAGTATTTTTTGCCGGCTTTCAAATTAGTCATGACTGCATCGAATATTTGTCCAGGGTCTCGAAAATTTAGCGGAGCTTCGACAGTTGCAGGTTCGCCACACATGTCTTTACTTGTATAGCTGCTGTGCGTAGCCTTTGCAATTCTATCTAGCTTATCTTTGTGCTCTCCAAACATCACTACAGGGTTTGGGACCGGGTCACTCACCCACTTGACCCTCATCTCAGATGTATTTTGCGTTAAGGCCAAATGTACTTGCAATGGTTGCGTCGGACCGTGTTTAAATCTCAATAACTCGCTTTCCTTTAGCACCTGAAAATCATCTGTGATAAATCTAAGCAGCCAAGAACATCTCATATTCACCAAAGGTCCAATCTCTATCGTCCCTGATGCTTTACCATCGGTCCTTACGACAGCCATATACTCATGCGCTGCAGGCATTCGACCTGATAGCTCGTCGGCTAAGCTCACGCAGTAGGCAGCGATCGCGTTTGCACCGTAAAACTCTAAATGCGGCGGTGAATACTCGAAGGATACGCTAATAATATCCAAATTATTTAAAATGCTCTGATTCACCTCTAGTCGATTCAATCGAAGCGGTGTTTGGGAGAGACGTTCGCTATTCATTCTGTGACGCATCGACTGAGATGAATTATCGGTCGAGAAAAGTAGCGAGAAAATGACCACGAGCGCCACGACGGCCATCAACGCTGCGAATCGATGCAAACGATACAAACGTGAACAGCGAAAATCGATTCTGGACTTAGAAGCACGAGTTTGTACTCTTAGAGTCGGAAGTTGTGGACTCGAGCGTGACGATGTAGATGGGTTCCCACGTCGTTCCAGTGATGTGCTCTCCATAATAGTCGACGAACAGATATCAATTTGATTGCCTTTATAAATTGCAAATCTAAAGATTCGGCACACATAATTAACTGAAATAATTATGGCTCTAGCTTGACACTGAACAATCAACACCAGTCGTAAGAAAAACGAAAATTCAAAGTTTCGGAAAAGTACCCATTTAGATTCCTCAATCGCGTCAATATGACAACGTCATATTACAATATCTTATAATATTTGTCACCAAATTTGAAAGCTGAGATATATTTAGGTATCTGCCCTATCATTATTTCGAGTGGAGATATTTCCACCCCGTTAGCTTTGGCATATCCTCGCCTTCTAGAAACAACGCACAACGTCTCGCTCGCACGGATGTATCCCCGAGGACCATTGCAGTGCTCTTAAATTAGCCAACGTATGGATGTAATCGTATAATGGTGTGCGCAGACATCACACAATTGTACCAAATACAGGTACTGACGACGACGATTGAACTTTTTCGGTCCGTGGTACACGTAGACTGGTAGCTTCACGCAATGCAGTTCACGTGGTTATATGGTCAACATAATTAATATAGTTCAGATATATCTAGTGTCAGATTAACATAGACTTTACTTCGGATCTACTTGACTTATGAAAGAGAAGCGAGAATTTAGTACCTAGCTGCTTTGAAGGATCTTGTTTGTTCCGCTCTTGGGCGAGGTTACGAACTCACCCTCCGTGCGTATGTTAATATGGACTCGTTAAGTCAGAGCTACCTTTTTGCAAGGTTCATGGCAACCCCGTCGCACTTCGAAGCACTTGTCGTCAACCGAACTGCATCCTCTGCGGAGACAAAAACTAGCTCTGTCCCCAAGAAAATATGTCGCGCTCAATAGGCTCATGTCTGTCGCTGGCCCGAATAGATACGACAAAACGGTCTTACAAGGACCGGAGGAGGCAATCGTTTGCCTGGCGACGTTCATTTAGCCGCTAGAACAAAGCGTCACAGCCTTTGACACTAGAAGCGAGAATAACTTTTTCTTCTTAGCGAGGAAAGTCGAGACAGCAGTGCATTCGGCCATGCATTAAACGTAGCAACAGTGCTCGCATTAACGGTTACCCAGCAAAGAGGCTAAGCGCAAGAACGAGCACTTACGTGCTTCACATCGGTAGAAGACATTTCACAGAATTGGGAGCTTAAAGGGACATATGTGGTAAGCATTTGCACCATCATTAAGGTGAATTCTAAATAGTTGCAACTTGCACCAAAACCTTTCGACTCGATTTCATGCGGTGGGTGTCGCTCTATACAAATGCAGTAACGCGAGGGCCGTATTTTGTACGGAAGGTGACAGCTCTATAAGAGCGTTAGAGGTGATGGACCTTGAACGTGCCGAGGGGGCAGAAACAGGTCTCCTAGCTTCCGAATAGATCCGCAATACTTACACATACATAGCTGCGAGAACATCTGCACTCTGCGGGCCTCTTTTCGTAGAGCTGATATGCATGAAAGGTTCAGTTTCTGCGCCGGGGCATCCAACGAAATGCTAGAGGGGAAACACCGAGTCATAATAGGCGCCGAAAGGCTCACTGCGTAGAAGCTGGTGTTGATTGTATCCCGTGAGGGGCATTTTCAAAAGAGACCAGCCCTAATGAAATTAACTCGCACAAAGAGAGGCAAGGCTCATAATCCATGGTTGCTGAGTTTAACAGTAACGTCTTAAGCTTTGTTCAGTCATGAAAAGAGCTGATAAATTCAATTGCAAAGCGCAATCACGTGCGACGCGCGACTGCAAAGTCTGATTCACGAACACATTGTATATGCCGAATATAGATACGATCTTTCACCGTCTTACAATGGGGCATACCAGATATGTGTTTGCGCTTTCCAAGTACTTCGATAACGTTGGACGTTGCATTGCTCTGGATCTAGATTCCATGAAGACTTCATCCCCTTTTTGGCGTAACCTGAACATCCTGCGCTCTTCTTTGAAATGAATTGAATAAGATGCCACGCACAAACACCCTAGTGGGGCTTTGGTGAGTTATAGAAAATGAGTGCTTCTGGCGCTGCTCAAATGTGTGACAGCTTTAGTGTAGGACACGGGGCTGTACAATTTAGTCAGCAATGTTGTTGTTGAAGACTTGAGCGGGACCGGGAAGCCAGATTACCACAAGGTTAGAAGAACGCAAGAGGTTGAGATCATGAGTCGCGGTCTTTGAAGGTGAAATTCCGCTGATAAACCCAATAGAGTAAGGTATTTACGAAGCTGCCTGGACAATTATTTGTATATTTATGGATAAAATAAGGCTGACATGGCAGAACCCTTCACCAAACTGGTTTTAAAATCATGTTGGATGGTGCTGGTAGGGAGCACAAAAGGCAATCTTGAAGAAACTATCATTTGTGCCGTATCTCAGTTTTTTTATCTTGTCTCTCATACTTTGGAATTTGCAGTGGCTGTGCTTCGCTTCAAGCTGATGCCAGTTGGCTGGAATCTGTATTGCTCTGAATATAACTTCTCATCAAATGACGAGGGTAAGGGATGCCTCTTTCAGGCGAGGGTACATATAAGCGTTATGTGATACATACGGATCGAACATTATTAGGCATTGAAACAGCTTCGACAAATCACTCTCGAATAATGACAATTGTCTTGTCCAGATTAAAAGTTAACTCGTTTCACAGTTGTAAGATCACCCAACGACGGCACCTTACTTACTGTGAACGAACAAAAAACAACTTGTGACACACCAATATTGTATTTAAAAAAGTTGTTTTGCAAGTTGGATTTTGCTTTTTTAGGCTTTTGCATATATATCGTTGCCTTTTTACCACATGTGTACTTGACACACATTGCATAGCTGTATGTCGTGATGAAAACCTCAGATGAAGGATCAAGAATGAAGCACACATAACTCACATCTTCTCAGTGAAAAGACCTAAGGTCTGATGAGCGCTATGTTCTGATGATCCAAGCTGAACAAAGAGGTGAGAGCTGATGCAGAAACCTAAAAAATACTCAACATACAAAACCTTATCCAAATGCTTTGGCGTCTTTACGCAGTCTGTCAATTTCGGCAGAGGGCCTATAAACTCTTTAACCATTGATCCCTCTGGACACATTGTGAGGAATATCGTTGCTGAGGAGGGGATCAGTCGAGCAAAATAAACCCTTGAAACAGCCAAACTGATTCCAGACATTGCATGTTACCGACATGGCTTCCCTGTTGTAACGGGGTTACACATACCCTGGTAACAGGGGTGTGTGTCACACCAGATGCATGGTGTGACCACACCCAAACAAGAATACGGTACGGGGCTGGATAGCCAGTAGTTCTACATGTAGTTAGATTTTACTATACATATTTTGAAAAATCGATGCATTTAAATTATACGGCTTTGCCACAGATAAAAATATTCAGGTTTTGAATTTGAACGGATGAGTTAATTAGCCTTGGATTAAGGTTATAATCTCTCTTGGATTAAGCGTATTGCGATCCACTAAACTCGTACTGGTTTTAGTATAGAAAGAGAGGTCGGTGACCTAACTTACGCTTCCTCTAAGCGCAAAGCTACGGCAGCCCCGCT